TGTCAAAGGCCTCACTGAAGCCCAGGCAGACAATACCCACTGCTCTCTTCTCTTCTACCAGGAAAATCACTTCACCATGGGAGTCTACCAAATTGTTAAACATTACTTCCCCTCGTTCAAGCCATACTGACCAACTGCCAGCGATTACACTGTCTTTGATGGTTTCAAGGATTAGCTCATCCATCACCTTCCCAGGGACTGAGGTGAAGCTGACCAGCCTGTAGTTCCTGCAGTCATCCTTCCTGTCCTTCTGGAAGATGGGGGTGATGTTGCTTTGTTCCCATCCTTGGGCACTTCTCATTGCCATGACTGATCAAAGCTGATTGAGATTGCAATGGATCTGCCATCTCTCTCAGTGTCTGTGGGTATATCCCACCAGGGCCAATGGACTTATGCACATGCAGGTTGCCTAAGTATTCCCAGACTTGCCCCTCATCCTTTTAGGGTATATTTTCCTAGCTAATTCGGTTTTTGTAACTCATGTTTGCTGCCATTATCACCTTATTAGCTTTTAGGTGGCTGCAATTTGCTTAATAATTCATTTTATGGACTGTTTAGAGCTGAGGTGAGGCTGCCTGGGCAGCAGATTCACAGGTCTTTCTCTCCACTTCGCTCTGAGAAGTCTCTTTTGCCCTGTCTCATTTCTGTCAGTGCTCCCGCGTTCCATTCGCTCTTGCAAATAATTATCAAAGGTCTTTGAATCAAAAGTCACTGTGGAGCGAATTTTGTCTTCTGTTCTTCAAGTCTCTGGTCACAACTACTCCTTTTGTTACTGTAATTATCCAAAGGAAAGATTTTGGACCCCTTGACCACCTTAACAACAGGGCAATGCTAATTTTTGTTTTCCACATCCCTGGCACATGCTGTCAGAGCTTCCTCTTGCCAGCTGAGCTGTCTATGAGGGCAGCTTTCAGGCTCCCATTTGCAAACGTCCCACAGTCCCAACAGGCAGAACTTCAACCACTACATTTTTCTGCTTGTCCACTCTTCCTCAATCCCTCAGGAAAACAAACAGAAAAGGCCACAGAGAAAACAAAACAATAGAGAAAACAAAAAAGGAAGGCCAAGTGTGAAAAATGCCAATCACTTGTTTTTAGAATTTTAAAAGTTTAATAGTAATGAAATGGTTATAAAATAGTAATATAATTAGAGTAATAAAAATTTGGACACTTAGGATTTAGGACAATACAAGACAATAAAAACAAAGAGTTATGGATAGTCTGGGTACCTTTTTCTGGGCAAAATAAGCCCAAAAAAGGACACACGTTAACAGAGGATTAACCCTTTAAAGCAATAGCCTATTACATATTCATACATCTCATACCTGATGTATAACTTCCATTCAAACAAAGGATTCTGTCTGGTCACTGTCAACTTCTTCCTCTTAATCCTGACGGCATCTTCAGGGCTGAACGAGGCGGGAAGAAGTTAGTTTCTTCTGACAAGGGAGCAATAAATTCCTTTTCTTTGAGAAATTTAGGTGTCTTGTTTGAGAAATGTAGGTGTCATTCCTCTCTTTAAATAAAGTAATTCACATAGCATAGTTTCTATTTTAACATTATGTTATAACCTAAAACTATATTTAACACACTACTTAAGAAAATTAATACAGCATAACATAACACATATAATATTAATTTTAATATTTGCGAAAAGCCAATCATAAAATACGCATTTTTCCCACCGAGGAAGGACAGTTTTTCAGATTAAAAAAGCAGTCAGGCCCCAAAGTGGTGATTAAAAGCCCAACCCACGCAGCGCCCCGAGGGAGCGGGAGCAGGAAGAGCACGAAGGAGCCGCGGGATCCAGACGTAGCTCGGCGGGGCCGGGTCTCAGCGCGTCTCTGTGGCGCAATCGGTTAGCGCGTTCGGCTGTTAACCGAAAGGTTGGTGGTTCGAGCCCACCCAGGGACGAAGCGCAATTCTTTTTGTGGTGCGCCGTGGGTTTTTTACTTCCCTCCTGCAAGAGGCGGCAGCTGCAAGCGGCCCGCGCCGCCTTTATACCGGCGGGAAGTGCCCGAGACCAGCTTTTGGCTCCGGGACCTCGCTGCTCCTGCCGCGCCAAGAGGAGTTTCACCCGCACCGTGTGCTCCCGCGGCTGCGGGTGCTGCGTCCGATTGCTCAAGGGAGACTGCAGGAACACGGCCTACAACGGAAGTTTCCGTAGTGTAGTGGTTATCACGTTCGCCTAACACGCGAAAGGTCCCCGGTTCGAAACCGGGCGGAAACACCACATTTTTTTCCCTTCCCGTGTCACTAGGGACGCGTTTCCTCTCTTGCCGCGGGGCTCGTCCCCTGCCCCGCAGTGGGCGAGGGCGAGCGGCCTCCTGGGCTGCAGGGGGGCGGGGAGGGAGGAGCAGGGGTAGGGCTGGGGGTTGTGCTGGAGCTCTGCTTTGTTCCCATGCTCCAGCTCCTCGGCAAACGCAGTTTCCCTGGAAAGATCGCCCAGAGGAGGGGAAAGGAGCTTCAGCTGAAACGGTCTGAACATCAACAGAAAACTTGAGAGAAAAGCTACAACCACTGGCAGCGGGCACTACAGAAGCCCCTTTTGATATTAACTTACATACAAAGAATAATACGGATCCAGGTCGGGGCAGGAGCATCTTCTTAGTGTTTCTTCAGCCTCCTCCTGGAAAACATACGCTGGAGGCACCTAACCCCTTCTTCCTTACACTCCTTTCCTAGCATTTCTCTCCTTTGTGAGCTCTGTGGCTCCACTGTGTTCTCTTGGGCTGTGCAGCTTCAGCATCTCCCTTGCAAACAACCACACCGTGTTTGTACACAGCAGAATGCAGAAAAATGCCTCAAACTCCATCAGCCTTGTTATCCCGCTAACCTCTTGCTCTGTCTGCACACTGTCTTAGATCAATACTCAGACTGGAAGTTCTTCCACTCCAAGACCGAATCCTGGTGGTCTTCAAAGCACAGCACACACTTTAGAGTATAAGCTGCTCAAAAGGCAATGTGTTTTGCTCCAGGCACGAAGGGGCTCACATCAAGACCAGCTGTTTAGCTTTGCAAAAGGAACACAGACAAGACACACTGGCTCTTGCTGATATATTGTCAGGAAGGGAATAATTATTTAAAGCAAAAAATAGTGATAGAAGAATAAATGGCAATGCCCAGCCATGAAAAACATCAAGATCAAAGTCAGATTTGTAATCAGCACCACAATAGATTTCTTGAAGAGTGCTCTAGCAGGTACACAGCTAGAAATCCATCCTGGCAGCTCCTTTGCAGATATGTTGGTTTATTGTAGGCAGGATGCGAGAAGGCAACCCTGTTTTTCACCCTTTACTGTGTTATAAGAAGCGTTTGAATGTATCATCAAGTAGTCAGATCTGAATCACAGCACCTTCTCTGCAGAGCTGATTCCAAACTCGAGTGCTACGATTATGCCTTTCCCAAAGCAGAAGACACAGACTAACAAGGCTCTGCAGAGGGCTCTGGACAGGCTGGGTTGATCGGCCAAGGCCAATTGTATGATGTTCAACAAGACCAAGCACTTGGTCCTGCCCTTGGATCACAACAACCCCAGGCAGTGCTACAGACTGAGGGCAGTGGCTGGAAAGCTGCCCAGTGGAAAAGGACCTGGAAATGCTGGTCAGTGGCAGATGAACACGAGCCAGCTGTGCCCAGGTGGCCAGGAAGGTCAGTGGCATCCTGGCTTGTGTCGGGAACAGTATGGCCAGCAGGACCAGGGCAGTGATTGTGCCCCTGCGCTCGGCACTGGTGAGGGCACATCTCAAGTTCTGTGTTCAGTTCTGGGCCCCTCCCTACAAGAAGGACATTGAGGGGCTGGAGTGTTTCCAGGGAAGGGAAACAGAGCTGGGGAAGGGTCTGGAGTGCAAGACTGATGAGGAGCAGCTGAGGGTGTTTAGCATGGAGAAGAGGAAGCTCAGGGGGGACCTTACTGCTCTCAACTACTCTACAAAGAGCGTGTAGCCAGGTGGGGCTTTTGTTGTAGGTAGTAAGACACAGGATGACAAGAAATGGTTTCAAGTTGTCCCAAGGGAGGTTAGATTGGATGTTAGGAAAAATCTCCTCTCTGAAAGGACGGTTAGGAATTGGAAGAGACTGCCCAGCCAAGTGGCAAAGTCACCATCCCTGAAAGTGTTCAAAAAATGTAGATGTGGCATTTAGGGATATGGTTTAGTGGTGAAGATGGCAGGGCTCAAAGCCCTTAGACTTTGGGAAATCTACCCTAGAACACTAATAAAACCTCCGTAATACAGGGACCAGTTTCTGATCACTACCTGTACTAACTATATGCCCACCTGGTATACTTTCAATTGACAGAAAATGACTACAATACTTTGTAATCTCTTCATGGCAAATTAAGAGCTGCATTTAAAAAACTACTCTTAATATAAAACACCCAGTAACATTTCAAATTCCAAACAATTTCTTTAGTCATACAGTTTTCATTCAACCTCAGCTGAATTCTCACTTGCACAGGATCGGAGGCAGTAAAACATTAATGGAAACAAACAAATCTGCACTGCATCATCTTCAGTTTTCTTTTTCAGAGAAAAAGGCAGGCAGGAACATGCAGCACCAACAGATTTATTTTCATACCTTCTTTAATCTCAAGTGCTATTTGTTTGCTCTTGGAGCTTCTATATATACCTGTACCCACACTGAATCCCACACAGCTGCAGACCACACTCCCAAATTCAGTTTGTGGAGGGGGTGCCAGTGGTGACCAGAGGTTCTTGCTTCTGTCTAGGTGTATCTGCACAGCAGGTATGCCCCCACACCCTCCCTCCTCTGCCATGAACTTCATCATAAACCCCTCCACCAGGACCTCCTCATCTTCTAGCAGGGTCTCTCTTCCTCCTGTTGCCCTGTGCATTCTGCATCACCAACCCTTGCTCACTGCTTTACTCACCCCTGGGTCTGTGTTTGTGTCCCAAGCCAGTGGTGAAGGAGCTCCCATGTCACAGCTACAGCTGCATTGCAACCCAATCATGGATAAATCAAACTCATTTCAGTCAGCTCTTTTGTTTTAATTAAGGAATTCACAAATGGGCAAATATTTCACAAGGAGTACACCAGCCCTTAACATTCAGAATCCATTCATTTGTTTTCTATTGTAACATTACCAATTACAGTATTTAAAACAAAGAAGAAGCTCAAGTTCTTCACAATAACTTGAATTTCAGAAATTCATTGCCTAAAGTGCCAGTTTGATAACAATGTACCCAATTGCAGCAGAAATAAGTGGACAGAGCAAGTTCAGGGTCAATGATAGTTTTTCAAACACTTTTTAAACGTAGTTCAAACAATCCAAAACCATTAGAATCTGTAACCATGCCATGTAATAGCATTATGTTTAACTGCATCCACTGGAAAAGTAAGACTGAGCTTTTAATGTTTTGAACTTGGGATCTGAAAGAATGAAAAAACGCAGGACAGCTCTAAATATGCCGGATATAAAGACTTCCTGATAAAATCCTTCTTATTTCCAAGAACACGAAAAATGTACAGCTAATCTAACTTGGCATATAATACCCTCAGCTTTGTGGCCATGCATTTTAAAAAGACTCCAATCTAGCAAAATGAAAGCTACACATATCCAGAAACACCAAGGTGTGAATCCCTCTGCTTACTCACTGCTGTCTTGCCACATTTTTCCATTTTCTTCCTACTGACCTTGCCTCTCCTTGGCATCTCTCATATGGTTGGGGGTGCACTGCCTGAGTCATGACAAACTCCAAGTGACAACAGTAATAGGCATTAACTTACAGTTAAATTAATTCTAAGACACCTGTAAACTCATATCAGAGGATGCAAAATTCTCTAATTACAGAAGGTACTTTAATTTTTTTTAAAATGTTGGACAAAGTAACTTCAGGAGTTGAGTGGTCCTGTAAAATCATTACTACATAAATAGTATTTCTTATACCATTACATCATCAAGACTACAGAACTTAATTAGTTCTCAAACTCACTAGAGTGTGGAAGTTTTTCATATTAAAAGCAGCAAAAATTAAGACTCATAGGAGCTTTTAATTAAAAATCAATGTCATATCTGACAGCTAAAATAACTGCTTCGCAGAAGAATAAAATACATTAAACCCTGATTTGCTTGTTACAGTAAAATATTAAGAAAAAAAATCTCAAATGTAAATTTTTCAAGTACAGCCAGTGTGCAATTAAACTAGTTATAAAATATAATTTAGTAGTGCTTTGTTTCAAAATATACATAATACTGAAAAAAATACTTATACTGAGTTTTACCAAGTTTCAAACAGAGTTTCATCAAAATGAGGTAAATCCATGTCACCTGCCATTGAGCTTGGTGCTGAAATGGAGAACAGGTCTTCGAGGATATCATCTCTTGTAGGACTTTCAAAAGAAAGTTTTTTCACACTGTGTTTGTTTATTGCATCAAGCTCCGAAGTAGTGTCCTTTACAGGACTGTAGTAATTGTGGTCCTCACTTGTCAGTGCTGCCTGTGGCACACTGGTGTTCTCATGGGGCACGGCCGCTGCCACGCTGCTGTGCACCATTTCCATGTACATACACTCATCTTCGCTCTTTGGTGCCTCCAAGGAAGCGACAGTCGAAGTAGGGGACAGTAATTCCGCCAGTATTTCATCAGTGTTATCATGGCCAGTGCACCCTGGCACAGCACTTGCATTGAGTTTGGACTCATTACCTGTCACATCAATCTGATACTGCAGCTCCCTTAAAAAGCTCTGCAATAATTCACTGTCATTCTGAGATTCAGTCTGCGATGGGGGGGTACTTACATCTCCACTCACAGGTTTTTCCTGTTTCACCTGTTCCACTGCTAATCTATCCAGTGAAGCTAACTTCTTCTTTTTAGCATTAAGTTTTTTTAACAATTTTAGGCGAAGTTTTTTTGTTTTGTCACTGTCTGACTCTTCTGCCTTACCAGAGTTATAGCCAGGTGAAGGGAACTGAGTCACTTTACCTGAGGTACCCAACGTACTTTCTGACTTAATCCAAGTTGGACCTACAACAGTGGTACGATTTGCTGTTGGAAGACAAGTGTTTTGAGAAAATCCTTTGAAATCTGATAGAAGATGAGTATTATTAGTCTGAGGAGCCAATAACTTTGGGGTCTCAGTTGTTTTCTTTGTACCTCTGCTTTGAAATCCACCAAAGTTACTTGCACCCTTAATTGGCAGCCGAACTTCACTTATTTTTTGCACTGAGGGAGTTTTGCAACTTCTCTCATTCTTGAGAGCTGAGGCACTTGAAGGCATAAAAGAAGTATTCTTGCTTAATTTCTTTACCCAGCTTCCTACAAATCCTCCTTTTCGGTCTTTGTGTGAGGACTGAACTGAATTACTGGCACCAGAAGAACTGCCAACCTGAGAATTAACTACAGTTTTGCCTGCATCTTTCAGGTCAGGTGATTTTTGTATAGTATTTTCTACTGCTAACAACTTCTCATTTAGCAGTAGTTCTGAATTTAATCCATGTTCACTGTTAGCTACATTAGTTCTGTCATTTATTTGAAAAGACGAGTCAGATGAATCAGGGTCACATTTTTTGGGCACAGGAGCAATAATATTTACTGGGTTCAACTCTTCTAGAGGTAAGCAAATACTGGAATTTTCATACAACATGGATTTATTGTTCATAGCTAGACTAGTTCCAGCAAACTCTCCTGTATATGGAGTGCTAAGTGAAAAAGCTGGTTCCTGCTGTTCTGGTGTGCCCCATCCGTCAAGAAGGTTATTTCCCACCATCTGTCCATTAGGCAGCGATTTATCTTCTGAGTCAACTAGAATTTCTTCAAGCATCAGTGTTACGAGATCATCATCTCCCAGATTTTCTGAACCATGATGAACAATACTTTTGTCCTCAGTTACTTGCTGCTGTTTCTTCTCTGGAGTCCTCACAGAATCCTCTTTGTAGTGTTCTGCAGGTGTTTTGCTGACAGTGTTATCAAAACCACAATGCAACACTGTGGAATTTGAATGTACATTATTAAGAGGAATATCTTCACTAGTTTTACTTTGGAACTGTGAATTCAGTTCTTGTGGCACATGGGATGCTTTCTTTTCCCAGATAACAACATGAATCTCTGAAGGAGGAACTTCAAATCTTTTATGTCTCTTGCAATATGGACCCTTTAAGTCATCACATTCAAGCCAAGTTCCTGAAAAATAGCAATCAGTGCAGAGACTCAGAGACTTTTAAAATTGAAATCACTATCCTCACACTTGTCAAGTACTTTTATTAACCCATTCCCCTGACAAGCAGAAAATGGAGTTTGGTTGTTTTTTTTTCTCCTCCAGAGAAAACTGGGAGACTTCCACTGTAAAAAGATCAACTACAAGAAGTTGCAGCAATATTATTACAGGTCAGAGTAAGTCAACCATAAAACAAAGCTAGCTAAGGGTTTTTTTTTGGCTGAAACATCTTGTCTGAAAATACTCTCACAAGTCTGAGGTAAGATCCACCTCTCAAATTAAGTTTCTCTGTAGACCTTTTAATTGCCTGGGTAGGAAGCACAGGGGCTAAAAAGAAACTGATTATCTTAATACTCTTGTCTCATCACCTGCAAACTGTTCATAGATCATGAAAGAATATTTTGTAGCTTCAAGAATTTTAAAATAGATATATATCACATATAGGAGCTTCTTAACTAGGCATTTCCCAGCTGCTTCCTCCTCCCATTTATTTTATCTCTGGCAATATGACCTAGACAATTTTCGTATTGTCACACTTCATAAGACTGTACCCCATGCTCTCTACAAAGGCATGATTATCAAAATATCACCTTTTCACCTTCTCTGATTATGGATCTTCCATCAGTGGTACAACCATCATACCATTAGTAAAGTTTCCAAGATGGATTTGTGCCTCCCACCCCTGAGGTGCCATAAAGTTCAGATATAAAAAATAACTTCATCAATTGCTCATAGCACCATAGGTTACCTTGCTTCCAGCCAAGAAAGGATGAATCACTAGTTTAAAAATAAACAATACTATTTGTTCCACAGTCATGGTCAGACTGCATTTTTTAACTTTTACGAAGTAATGAAGGGAAAAAAAACTCTACAGCCAAATTACTTTTTCCAGTAAATGCACTGTAAGACAGCACAGTGCAGTCAAACCAGCCGAAAACCTTCACTCTGAGAAACAAGTCCTCCCAATTATTCACAATGTTTTAATATGCAGTTTAGAACGCAGACAAAAGAAATCTTTGTTATTATATATCAACGGTTGAGAATACTGCAGTAACCCATAAAACATTTCATGTAGACTCATGAAATATTATGGTAGATAAGAACCATAAACTCTATCGTATCTCCCTCTGTTATGAGGAAAGACTGAGGGAGTTGGGCCTGTTCAGCCTTGAGAAAGGACAACGGAGAGGGGACCTCATCAATGTCTGTAAGTATCCAGAGGGAGGTGTCAGAAGACAGACCCAGGCCCTGCTCAGCAGTGATGAGCAATAGGTCAGAAGGCAACAGGCAGAAACTGATGCACACTACGTTCCACCTGAACATAAGGAAGGACTTCTTTACAGTGCAGTGGCCACACACTGGAGCAGATTGTCCAGAGAGGTTCAGAATTTCCCTCACAGGAAATATTCAAGTACCATCTGGATGCCATCCTGTGCCGTGTGCTCTGGGATGGCCCTGCTTGAGCAGGGAAGTTGGATGACCCTGTGGCCCCTTCCAACCTGACCCATTATGTGATTCTTACCATCAGGATTCAAAGACCAGCTTATGAAGTGCTTCTTATCTGTTTGGTACTGAACAACAGATGTTATTTGGTAGGTGTCTTCTTCAAATTGAAATGAATATTTCTCCAGGTTGTTATGTGGCAAGCCTTCCACAAAATGTAACGTTAATATTGAGGGTACTCTGACAAAGAAACAATAAAGAACCAGTTTATTACAATAAAACAGTGGCAGAAGTTCCTAATGAAAAAGTAAGATGTCTCTAAGAGTATTTGGTTCTGCCCTTACTATTCTACTTCCTCACAGACTCTTCAGATTGCTCAGTAAGCGCAAAGGGAAAAGAATATCCAAAGTGGATGTTCCATTTAATTACAGATTAGGGTGGAAAAAACCCAACACCCAAATAAGGGATTTGGGAAGTGGGGAAAAGTTGAGGAAAAAATGCTCCTGTGCCATAAACACAGCAGCAAGGGACATTGTTCCCAGGTCAAATAAGTAAACAAATGATCAAACAACTTTTATCCACAGCAGGGGCTGTGAAAAGGCTGACTGGATATCAGTTGTCTGTATTTACTATTTGATAGTTAAGTATTTATGACCTAGTTCAAACACGTGCTGGTCAGCATGTTAAACACTGCTCTGTTTCATCTCCAGCAAACACTATTTGCTATTTCAGCTTTTAAGAATGATCTAAAAATCTTTAAAGGTGAGTACTGATGAGAATTTAAGGTTTAGAATCTCTGCAAATCCACAGTAATAGTTTGGTTTCAAAAGTCATAGGTTCAATAAATGAAGGCTCAGAAATTTATGTATGTTACTTTCAAGTTCACATATTCAAACTTACTCTTCCAAGATCATCTGTTGTCTTTGAGATGTAGTTCCACAGTTAATACACGGTCCAATATGAACAGCATTGAGCGGATGCCAATCAGGGATTACATTTGTGAACGTTGTTAGTGTTTTCTTCAATCTGGACACACACAAACACATTTAAAGAGGAAGCTGAGTTGGTGATCAGAAAACAATAAGTATACATACTTTACCAGGAAACAAGTTATAAAAACATTATGGCAAACCCAAATTCCATTCATGTTCATGCCATTTGTGTGGAATTCACTGTGAATCCCATCCAAGTCAGCCCTGAATTCAGTTCTGCCAAACAGCATCAGTCACAATTTGTTTTCAGCAGCCCTGTGGCCTTCAGTTTCACATTATTTGCTTTCTCTCCATTTTAATGTTATCTCTGTTCTCTTTCCAACATGAGACAGAGCTTGTTCCAGGATCTACATAATTTACTACCTAATACAGATATTTTTCAAATAGAATGAGCTGTCTTCTGAAAGTGTCTCTCTTTTCCTACTGACTCTAAAAGGAGCCTAAATTACGAGCTTGTACCTGCAGCTACACAGAACTAAATCAATTCTCAAGGAATTACTCCCCTGCAATACTATTTCAAAATAGACAAACTATGTTAGAGAACCTCTTTTATTTGTAACCCAAGTGAGTATTCCAGGTATTTCTGAACAGCAAAAGTGTACTGGGCACACACTCTTTAGAATCACAGCAATTTATATACTCTCAGCAAAATATCAGAGTATGTCCAGAGGCTCACACAGTTACCTATTGTTTCTTTCTTAATTAATTGATAACATGATTGCTTAAGACATGGAATAGCAGTAAACTGTTTGCAAATGAAAAAGCAGATCATGCAAAACTTCAACAACAAGCTTCAACCTGGAAATCTGAAGAAAACCAACTATGATATGCAGATTTAAAAAGGTAAGGTAGAACAGCTACGTAGAAGCTACTTCTGTACAAATCTCACCGGTCCTGGTATTTGTGGCCACAATGTACACATTCAAACTTCCATGAAAAAGAATGCAAGAATAGTTTCTCAGCTTGTTGATCCACTTGTAAGAGTAGCTGAAGTGCAAACACTGGATTCTTCATATTACCTTCAAAGATGGGGCAGAAAAAAATGATTACTAAATATGTGAAATCACCTTTCAGTACCTCAAAAACGAAGAAGATAAGCTTAATACTATGATTTAAATTTCAGTTATTATTTCAAGGCTCTCTTTGCAATTCTCACAGCAAAGGGATTGATCCATGTTATTAGGTTGTTATCAGGGACAATTTCATGACTACAGCATAATTACAAAGATTATCTGCTCTCTAAAAAGTTAAAATGGGCAAAGAACAAACCAGCTGATCATACTGTAAAGTATGTGCAAGTCACCAATAGAAACAAATGTATTTCCAAACGTTCTTGTATGCATTCCTACAAACATACTTTTATGTATGGCATAAAAGGCTTTAACATCTAGGGTTTCCTGAAAGTAATTACTGAGATGCTGCACTAATTACTTACCCAATTCACACCTCAGCTGAGGCTGAAGTTCTGTAAACATTACGTTTCTGATTTCATTGAGCTGAGATTCTGCTTTTGGAAGAACATCTAAAGAAAAAAATACGTATGTCTTCATACAGTCACGTTTAACAGCCCCCACACCTTTTCACACACATATGTACCCCCAGCATGCACTCCCTCTCTGCAAACCAATGCCTTTCATATTGACCCATACTTGCCTAAGACTTGTTGGTAGAACAGCCAATTCTTGGTATTAATCGATTTGAACGTTGGAGAAGAATTTACACAAATTACTCACAGTTTACTGCAGTCTGCTGACTAAAAACTACTTGTTCTGACTTAAACTATGACTAAGACCCTGCGCCAACAGCTTTGTAGTAACAATTTTTAAGGATAGTGTGACCACACATGACAAATCCTGAAGATTTAGAGATTAAAAGAAAACTTTAAAACTTAAGCGTTAAGATCAAAAGCACAAGAATTTGCTTACATGCTTTCTAAGGTTATACAATTCAAATAATAAAATATTTTAATGTACTGTTTCAGATTAAATACCAAATTCCTAAGTGAGCCTTTAAAACAGTAAAAATAACTTTAAATTTAAAAATAATTTTTTACTTTATATATCTTGGTATTTTAATTTTGCATGTTGTTTAAACACAAATACATTCTTTAAACACAAGCAAGAAAATAACTTCTACTACACAATCATGATCATGCAGAAATTAAAGGAAATATTTAGAATAGCTGTTGAAACTGCTTAATATATATAAACTGTGTATAGAAATAAAGAAACAAAGTTTCTTCCAGCTATATTGCTTTTAATTGTTTTCAAAAACAGCTGCATACAAAAGATACTGTAAAATTATACAGAAGAACAGAATGAATTCTACACCTATTCTCCACAAAGATACGCTTCACCCAATCCTCTCTCTACTGTTACCCAAATAAACTGATTTGTTTCGCAGCAATTGAAATGAAAAGGTTTAAGTTCTTTCAAAACAACACTGTATTCCAATACTTAACATTCCCATTTAAGGGTTACTGCACACCAGCAGAGCTCCTTTGCAAACACAGCCCAACAAAGAAAAACATCTCAGACAGGTGCTAGGATAGCAGAGGGCTTCCCAGTAACAGCTGAACACCTAAACTCAAGCAGACTGACTTCCTGGCAAGCACAGTACATGAACTAGTTCAAAATATTTTGGAGTTTTCTACCTGGTTTGTCACACGGATTAAACCACTTCTGATACACATTATTTTTCCCAGGAAAGATAGGACCTTTTTCAAGTTGCCTAGGGCTGTTTTGTGACTGTGGACTGTTTATATATTCAAACACACATCGTCCAACAGTGTCCACTGAAATTCAGGAGAGGTACTGGCTAACCAGAGAGCTTTATTCCTTCTGTAGCAGACCATATCTTAGAAGTTTAGACTTATGACACCAGTGGTCCAGTTCAAGAGCAATAAAAAAATCCATTATCTTAGTTTAGGAGTCTTAAAAAGAATACACAGAACAGAAAATTACTAAAGGCCACACCAGTAGAATACAGTGACATATCCTCCTCAGTTACAGTCCTCCAATGTGTTAAGCTGAGCTGACCTGTTAACACCCTGTTAAGGGTTACTGAGTTACTAACCCTTTCCAGACCATGTGATCCAGTGTTTGTTTCATGTGTTTCACTACTTCTGACTGAAGCAGGTCAGGAAACTCTGTCATCTACAGCAGCTTGCTGACCTCAGGGGAAGCATTCCTTCCATGACCACAGCTGGAGCCAGAGAAGAACTTATGCTCCCAGCTTTACTATTTTCAGTGTGACAAGGCAACTGTCCATTTACAGAAGGGTATAAACCACAAGAGAAATTGTTTCCAAGATCAAGATTATAACAGTATCCTAACATGTTAACCAACAGAGGGGAAGGAAACAAAGTAAGGGTGAATTACATAAATAATTCATAATATCTTTATGTTGGATATGACAAAAAAAATTTAAGAGATGCTTGGTGTTTGATGTCTTCAAAGAGTGCATGCTTGCCCCAAGAAAAACAATTTCAGATGTTACCAGGATTTTGCTAGAAAAAGCACACTATTCTGCAAATTCATGGTAACAGTCGTATTTTTTATCATCTTGAAATAGAATGGAGGCATATATAAGTGTGCTGTACTAAATTCCACATATTTGTAGCAAATCAGTCTAACTATGAGAAAACAGCAGCTAAATTTACCCACCTTTTACTTTACTCCTTTTACAGGTATTCAGAAGAACAGATGCTTGATTATACTTTGTTAAGAGCTTCTGGAGTAAGCATTTTCCACCATTGCATTCTTCTGCTAGAGCAGATTTTAATGTTTCTAAGTGTACCAGTGCTGACAAAATACAATCTAACCAACAAAGATTACGTGTGTTTCTCCATTGAAGACACAAATCTCTGTTATTAATGGAACCTTTATCATCTTTGAGTGAAATTTCAGATGCTGTTGATAAAAGCTCAGAATTTGGCAACAGTTGTGTTTTGGAACTAGAAGTCTTTGGTGGACTTTCTTGGTAGTTGTTGATCTTGGTGGTTGTTTCAAAATCCACATTCTGCATGCAAGACTCCACATGGTTGCCAGGGTTTTGCTGGCCATTTTGTAATACATCGTGTTGGCTTGCCTTGGGAATACACAAACTATTCTGGCAGCCTTTGACAATGGAATCTGCACTAACGGCGTGCTCAACATTGAACACGTTGTTAGTTCTTGCTTTTTTTGGATCTGATTCAACAGCAGAAAAGTCACTGGTATTACCAAATTTCCTCTTCTTGTGAGTAGATGGAGCTTGATGATTTTCTGAACCAGTAGAAGTAATTATGCTGTTTAATGGTTTATAACCAAGTGGGTAGATACACTAAAGGAAAGAAAAAAGGTTACAGTGAAATCTACAAAGCAATTTCAGGTGAACAAGAGCTAAAAAAAGTACAAAACATACTTTTAAAATGGAGTTGAATCACAGAATCATAAAATGGCTTTGTTTGGAATGGATGCTACACACCATCCAGTTCCAAACCCCCTGCCATGGGCAGGGACACCTTCTACTGGACCAAGTTGCTTAGACCTCCATGCAACCCAGCAACAGGGACTCCTGTAAAGTGATATTTTAATTAAATCAATACATATATTCAACACAGGTATGACTTGAAGTGTGTGTTATCCCACCACTGTCTTATAAGAAACTGTGAAATAAATATATCAGTAGTGCTACTTCAACACTACTTTTCTAGCAAATTCTCCCAACCTCTGCAAACAACTTAATTTTGCTAAGGAGAGTCCTCTTGTCTTATTCTGCTAAATCCATTCCTTTAGGGTACAGATTTGACATTATTATCTCATGCCTGAGAGACTACTGGTGCCCAAACTGACAGGGTACCTTTCAGGCTAGCTCAATGAATACAGACAAATCCCTATTACCAATTTCCAGAACTATACTATAGTTAAAAGCAGGAAAGAATGGGAAAAACAACTCTGAGACCCATATTTAGTCAAGTTTCTCCTAATTTAAGGGCAACTTAAGTCTGTTTGGGACTGCTATATCCTCCCCACACACATGGAGCAGTGAAGGGAGTGGTAGCAAAATCACAAGTCAAATATTAAGCAGCACAGAAATTCAGCTAAGGTTAAATTAAAAAGGGGGGAAAAAGAAATAAAAACATTGTCATTGCAATCATAAACCTATATGCATCACCAAGCCTTAAAGAAGGGAAAATGGGAGACTCAGATCTGCCAGTTATGTACTAGTTCCATGGATCATCAAGTATTCACCTTCTACTCTGACTTGTACAAAAACTTATTTAGTACCACTTGTGATCCCTTGCTAATTGAAAAGAACCCTCCTTTATTTCATTATTTATTTTCTCTTTTTAATCCTTTAGGGTAGCTACCTATACCTAAACACTGCATATACACAGGTTAGTTCTGTTTTTCCCTACTTGCAGATATCCTCCAGCATACAGACTCAGAGGGATCCTATTCCAACAGTCTGCTTACCACCAACACAATCACAGACTGAGAGAGATGTAACTGCTGAATGTAAAGGCCTCTGCAGGGCCAAATAAAACTCTTTATTAGTGTAATACCTGAGGATTTTCACAAAGGAAAATGGACTCTTGAAAATTAAGGCGGTAAGTCCGTAAACCTTGGATCTGACCCTTCTCTTTGCAGACTGGGCAATACTCATGTGCAGTTGTTTCCACAGGATTACAGTTCTAAAATAAAAACAAGCCAAGAAAGATAAAGCAGCATAAGTTTATGTATTTCATACATTATCCCAAGGTAAAGCATTCTTATACAAAATCATCGTTCAATTTCTAGATATTCAATTTCTAGATATAATATGATACAATATAAAAAGCAAACTACATTGGTTTCTTTTTTATTATTTTTAATATATTTGTATGGTAGCATGATTTAAATAAATTTATCTTTTTATTTAAATATTCAAATAAGGTGTCTTTAACAACACAATTATGCACATTTTATTTTACTTGAACTAAACCACAGGACCCTTATTGCCAGGGAATAGCAATATCTGAACAAGCTCAGATCTTTGAAAGACAAATCAATTTTCATAGGAATGCAAACAGTTGTAAAAATAGTGCCAGTAAAAAACAGAGGCACATATTTACTTAGAATAATCTTTCGCCATTGTTATAGATTTCCGTGGAAAATAATTTTGAGATTGTTTTTTTTTGTAAAATTAAGACCAATTAAAAATCTCTCAAAAAAAGAGAAAGATATGAACTTTGCACATATGTAAAACAAGTTTCAACTGACTTTTCCCAAATACCCCACCATGTGGAGTGTCGATTTCCCTATACCAGTCCCTTCTCCAATCACTTGCAAACCATTTGTAGTCTTCTGGGTATCCATCATTCTGAGCCACTGGCTAATTTATGTCACTTGTAACAATGTCATGACCACTAAGGATTTTTCAAAGACTCCTGAAAAATAAGAAGTAAATAAAACAATTAAAGAAAAATTAGACTGAAGTTTGGGTGAAAAAAAATACCAACAACAATGCAGCTTGCATAGTTTGCGGAAATTAATTCAGAAGAGTATTTCCTAAACTGAAAATACTTTTTTTTTGTTCTAGTGCAGACTGTGAACTCAAAACTTTAAACTAAGAACTACAGGGATCCAATCCTGCTCCTGTTGACTTGAAATTAACTAGAATAAATATATATCTCTTCAAGATGCATGAGGAAGTTGAATTGCCAAGTCATCAATGCAGTATCTTTCCTTCAGCCACACTGCTCCCTTTTCATTACTTCAATGAAAAACATTCTCTCCCACACCATGTCCTTTCAGCCCTTTATACAGTACAGCAACAACTCCTTACAAAAAAAAAAAAAATTCTCCAGGCATTCTATAAATACTAGTTCAACCTAGACCTACTTATAATATTTGGCAAGAAGAGACCCAACAGAACTGCATGAAATGCTAAAAACCAACAGAGCTTGAAGTAAAAAAGCACAAGAGAAAAACACAACCACTCAGATTTCAAATCAGACCCCCAAGGCAACTTAAGAGTGGGTCAAAATGAGATGATATCCTATTTAAACCTTCAGTGTGTCCAGCAGCCCTTTTCAGAATTACCAGTCTGCAGCATGTAGAGACAGTATTCCCTGTCTGATGAAACTAATGGTTGTAATAGAAGGCAAGAACATAAAAATATTAATCTGTGTCCCTTAGAGCATGTTTAGCTTTCCAAGTAATGTTGTAGGCTGCACAAGAAACAGCACGGCCCAGGGCTCATACAAGGTGAAAATTAATGAATTAGCTCAAGTACACAAGCTTGTTGAAGTGTAAAGGAAAGACAAGCACCCCGACTTCTCACACAGCAGCAACAGCACTATCACACTGCAACTCAACTCTGTTATCATATATTTTGTCTAGCCAGGAAGTTGACTTGTTTATACAATTACAAGCTGTACAGATAAGAACCTTTATCATAGGATATATCATACTAAAATACATAACTTTATTTTTCAAGGGACTTTTAGTCAATTCCTTGGCATGAAGCAGTCTCAGCACTCCAGAGTAAATAAAAAACAGATTACATGACATGATAGAAACTCCTGAGAAATTTCTCACCACAAAAATTCATCACACACTCAAAAGGTTAGCAACACTAAGAACCTGCAGGTTATTCTGTTTTAAGCATGCCCCTTGGTTTTCTAAAACACAGGTATTTCTTTGCAAGGCCCTGTTTACCCTATCAGCGTTCTCAAAAGGAAAACAAGTTTTTTTTTTTTCCTGATTGTGTTCAGTTTCTGTTACTTCTGCTTTTCTTTTTAAAGATTTAATACTGAGATGTATAAGATTTTCTGAGACGTACAATACCTTCCCCAGATATAATCACCCAGCCAATAGTACCACAACACTGAAAGAAATACTTTTATTTCTCTTACAAATATAATAGCATTAAGAAAAAAAAATTTAGTTCAAAGACAAATGCAATGAGCAAATAAAATAGGTCTGCCAATACTAGATATGAAGAGTGGTACCAAGAGGCCTGCTTGTACTCTTGGAAGTTTCTAACATCACATTACAGGAAGGTAGTGGTGATTTTGCACAATGTACAAACACTGGGCATCAGATGAACACTGCCAAGAAGAACAGCCAAGTAAAAGACTGCTGCATCAAGTACTGCAACAACTCATCACAGCCACGTGCAGTAACTGCATTACAGACGGGCAAGTACAAAGGAACACATGCTCAGCCTTACTAGGGCATGTTCTAAACAATTAATGCTACTTTCCTTCTTTAAGTCTGAATAGTGAAAAATGTAATGCAAAATATGCTGTGGATGTGACTAAATGATCATTATGCTGTGGCTACACTTCCTTGAGTAGATGAGTTGATCTAACAGCTTGCTGCTGCAGAATAAGGGCATCATTTTTCTCTTTTATTTCCCTTCCCACTTTCTCTGACAGCTCACGCCCTAATCAGATTTTTTATGAACTAAATTAACTCACAAAACAGCAGAAAACGTAGTAAAGAACAAGTTTTTCTACTATTCCATGGAATTAAACTGGCCTATGAAAACTCCAATGACCTAGGGAGGGCAGAAGACAGAAAATAAGGAAAAGATGAAGTATCCAGAGACATACGGCCTTGAACTGCTAAATGCCTGAGGAACTAGCTGGATGGCCACAACCAAACAGCTGCAGCTCATTGTACCAAGCACAAACCAGTGGTGTCCCTCAAGGGTCTACAGTGAGGCAAACACTGTTTATTATCTTCAGCAAAGAGACACAGACTGTGGGATTGGGATTCTGCCCCTCCAGTCTGCATGGTGAGACCCCCCATGAAGTGCTGGGAACTGAGGAACGATGTGGACCTGCTGGAGCGAGTACAGAGTGCCTCTCCTGTGCAGAAAGGCTGTGAGAGCTGAGGTTGTTCAGCCTGGAGAAGAGCAGGCTCTGGGGAGACCTCACTGCAGCCTTTCAGTAACTAAAAAAGCCTTATGAGGAAGAGATAGAGGCCTTTTACTGGGATCTGTAATGACGGTACAATGTGCAGTGGTTTTAAATTTAAAGAGGGCAGATTTGGATTGGATTAAAGGAAGAAATTATCTACAATCAGGATGGTGAGACACTGGGAGAGGCTGCTCAAGGAAGCTGTGGATGTCTTATCATTGGAAATGTTCAAGGTCAGGTGGGACAGAGCTTAGAAAAACCTGGTCTAGTGGAAGGTGTTCCTGCCCGCTGCAGCGGGGGTTGGAACTAAATTATCTTTAAAGGTCCCTTCCAGCCCAAACCACTGCATCAAACAATTCTACAGAAAAGGGACCTGGGCCTTTTTGACAATAACTGTACCTAGAGAAATGATACCTCATGAATTAGAATCAGTTACAAACTGCAAAAAGCAGGCAACAACAGTGATTACACTACAGTGAAGAGGACATCTCCTTGTTTACAGGCTAAAAGGACATTTAAAAATAACCTTTTTGTAAATCTTACAAGTCTTGTTTCCTTCATCAAGGGGATATGGAAAAGATTAAAAGAAAGAAATGTAAAGAAAAAGAAAGTGGTATTAGTAACCTTTCCATTCTTTACACAATAAGAAATCAGAGTACTAAGGCTTTTCTTTATCTGAGGTCATAACTACAAATATCCAGATCCCAGTCCCTCCCTCAAAAATTGACAGCTTTGGCCACAAAATATATTTTATTACATGCAACAGTAACATTGTTCCTGTGAGAAAGCAACTCTCTCTCCGGCACAGCCTGCAAGTACTGCGCAGAACTGCAAGGCTCCATGGTGTGGGGGCAAACATAAATTCTCTTCCTGAAAATAGTCTAACATAGACGAAGCAAATAAAGATAAATCTGATCACACTGCAAAACGAACCAGTGTGCAACATCATTACTCCACTGTTCTAAGAGTTTCTTCTACAGGCAGACTTCTCCGAGATGCCCACATATTAAATGCTTTTATGGGTGTATGACAAGGGACAGGGACTACGTTTTGCTGGCAAATCATTCAGTCCTTCCGAAACAAAAATGAGAATGTAGGAGAAACACAGCCTGAACTAGTGCAGTTTATTTATTATAGCTGCAGCGAAGAGGCAAGATTTCAGGAAGGCAGGCGATCTGTGTCCCAAGGCAGTGGAAACGAGAGGCACGGGGGTGTGGATGCCGCCTAACCAGCCGTCAGGGCAGGGCCGGCCCAGCGCGGGGCTGCCGCCCTCCCTCCCTCCCTCCCCGAAACGTGCCCGGCCTTTTCAGATAAACCTATGGGTACACGCTGCCTCCTGACTTCTTATTCCACATCCAGAGAGATCCACACGCTACTGCAGAGGAAAAAAGCGTGCACAGAGTTAATCGCTGAACACTAGAAAGCCGCGCCAGGGGCAGATGCGGGCGGACACACACACGCGGTGCCTCTCTGGGCGCATCTCTGACGGGCGAGGCGCGGAAGGCCCGCACCCTCCCCCGCAACGCTACTGACATGAAATACTCAGTCGGCATTTCGGGACCCGCGACACCCCCCCGCTCTCCGCCCCGGTCGCACCGAAGGGACCGGGCCAGGCCGGGCCTGCCGCTC